ATATTGAAACTTGAGTTAGGGCCGCTGCATGACAAAAGCTGAATGCTACGAGACTCGATTTAGGATCAATTTCTATAACTGCTTATCGATTTCGATAACTATTTAACGATTTAGATAACTATGTGTCGACACCTATGAAACCTAGTAAAATATAAACATTTTGAAAGTATTTAATTAAAAATTGAATTTTTTATTTTATGTAGTGTGTGTTTTAATTATAATATAATATAAGTATTACACAAGTTTTATTGTTTGTTTATTGTTACTGGTCCTTCATTTTATGCATATAGCTCTTCTCAGTTTGAGCTTCGTGATCAGCAGAAGGATATGGAATATTGTCATTGGGTGGGTTTTCGGGGGGTAGCTCATTATCCGATGGATTGGCTGAGTCGGGCAGGTTTTTCAGTTCGCCTTTGAGCAGGTCAAAGGTCATGGCTGCATGCTGCAATTGCCGGGCATGGCGTTCGCGCTCCCGCTCTTCGCGCAACCGGTCGAAGTCGTCTTTGCTCGTGCCACGCGACAGCAATTGATCCGACTCGTAAAAAGTCTCCTCCTCATCGCCTTCGCCCTCCGCCTCCGGCTGATCAATGCTCGGGTCATTGTCGAGCATGGAAATGGACGACGAGCTGCGATGAATGTTGAAACGAAGCGAAGCGAACTTAATGCGCAGCTCGCTGCTCTTGACCGACTCATCCTCGGCATCGAATTCCGTAAAGTCGCGCTCGCTCGTATCGCTCTCAGTGCGCTTGTTCAGCTGTGAAGATGTTATCTTGGACAGGTCCAGTTTGGCGGTTGATGCCTCGGGTGGATTCTGACGTTGCGACTCATCGGCATATGGCAGCTCGTTGGGGAAGACCTCGTCCCAGTATTGATCTCGCACCAGGGTTGGATGGTCGTTGTGCATCTCGTCCACGATCAGATAGCTGACCTGCAGATTGCGATCGATTACCCAGTTGAGCTCAAAGTCGTCGTCGTCGTCGCCGAATGGGCAAATCAGTGTCTCAGCCACCTTCAGCCAGCCCATAAAGAAAAAAAACTCCAGCGTGCTAAGCAGGGGAAAATAAAAGTTAACAATGTTGCTTTCCATCTTCCCGATGTACTGGTTCCCGAAAATGGCGGCCACGAAATACGCGTAGACAGCCAGAGTCACCACCTGGGTGTAGACCAGCGGCACACTGATCATGTCGTAGTGGGTGAGCATATTGCAGCCCGCCCGGAACTTGTTCAGCTCGTCGATCATGGACTTGAGCGAGAAGTCATCCCAGATGCGGCCCTCCTTGCGGGCGCGCGTCATGACGCTGGAGGCCCACATGAGGGGCATCCAGTACTTGGAGTGCTTCGGAAACTTTTCGTCCATTTTGGTGATGATGAGTGCCTCGTTATGGTTGAGCAGGCCCGTGGTTATGAAGAAGTCGTAGGTGGGAAAGCGCCGCTTGATGCCCGGCGATATCATGGTGAGCACCATGGTCAGCGAGAGGCACACGTAGCGCATGATGGTGCGACGCATCAGTCGGCCATGCTCGTCCTGGCCACGCACCAAGGCGCTCACATAGACGGCCAGTGGATCCGGCCAGGGCACGGTGATGTACTGATTCCACCAGCGCTCCACAATGATGGCCACGTAGAAGCCCAGTACAAAGGAGAGCGGTATCAGGGCAGCGTAGCTGCGGCAATAATCCACAATGTCTTCAAAAATGCTAAATGGTCGAGGTTGGATTAAAAGCGTTATATAAAGGACTGGGGGTGGAGAGTTCTGCTAACCGTTTGCCCTTTCCGTACAGGCCGTACCGATACAAGAAAGCCGTGGCATAGAAGGCAATCAGGAACACCAGCAGATCAGCCCAAATTAGCTTGTAAATGCTTGCACGCCATCTGAGCGATTGTTAGCCAACGATGTTACACTGCCTGCGGTATAAATTCAGCTGCGACTTACCTGCCCAGCAGCTTCCAGAAGCAGCCAAAGCGACGGCACGTTGCTACCTCGGCGGTATAGGAAACAGTCATGTTTGAACACGCTCGGAAAACGGATTAAGTCGACTGAGGCAGCTACAAATGATTTGAGCCAAAGTTCAGGCACAGAGTAAAAGGCCAACTAAGGTAGTTCGATAGAGCTGGGCAAGGCCAGAACGTAAGGCCAACTAAGGTTAGTCGATAGAATTGGCTTTAAGTATCGCATAGAAAGGCAGCACTTGTCACGTCATTATTATCCTAGTTCGCTATATTTCTGCATAGAATTAGGCATTACAATGGATGAATTCAGACTTCCTTTCAGGCAGTCAAATTTGCGCTTTTGTGGCAAATAACTATTTGAATTGAACTCTTCATATTTGTTGTCGACAATTGCAAATTGGCAATTCGCAATCTCAGCCACATGTGCCAAGTATTTCCGGCACCTGGGTAACCCAAATCGGTGTGTGTGTGGGTGGGGGTGGGGAGGGGAATTTACTTAGCAGGTAGCTACGTTGGGGTAATAAAATTTTAATGCCCCTCATCTACGACGGGAGTTGCGTGATTTAGAACCTCCCCCCTTGAGCGCCCGGCCCTGATCCGATCGTATCATGTGCCTTGAGTGAAAGTGTGAAGAGCATTGCGAGTGTCTTATCAGCAGGGCACAAATGTATTGTTCGATTGTGATTACGATTACGATTATGACGCTGACTTGAAGTGTGAGTACTCATACTCTGTGTATATATATGTATATTATATACATATATGTATGGCTGAGCTACTTCTGATGTTTAGCCAGTGACTGTTGACTGTGACTGCCTTAACGTGACGCATGCACTGAGCAAAGTGCGCCAGATGAAAAAAAAAAAAATAATAATAATAAATAAAACTGAAATAAATCAAAATAAATATATATATTTAAAATTCACCTAAACATTATTTTTTATTTATTTTTTAACATATTTTCTAGTTCATCTCCAGCTTGTTTCTTTCAGTGTATAATCCCATGTGACGAATAGCTATAAAGCCAGGGCGTAGATCGCCTCGCTTTATTAATGCCCGTAATCAGTTTATAGATAATTTAATTGTTGCTATTAGCGAAGCGTTTATCAAGCATATGAGAAATAACAGTATTTCACAAACAACAATAATAAGTGCCAAAGGTGGGCGGGGCGGCGAGAAATGGGGGCTGTGGGCGTTGCCATTGTAAATTTGTTGCATCACTTTTGAGACAACTCAATTGAATTTGTATTTTCGTAAATCTGCGATAAAATCTAAATAATCAATGCCTGCATTTGACGGCCCAATGTCTGTCCACGTATATCAACAGCATTATCAGCATTCATAAATTAAGTATTTTATTACAATAAATATATATATGTATGTGTGTATAAATATTAATTAAAATCACTTATTGTGCATGAATTTGTCACTTGAGAATGCGACGATTGCATTTGGATTGCAGCTCAACAAATCTAATCTCCGCCATTGACAGAATCTCAGCCAAACTCCAATATAAATGGCTGAATTATGATATAATTACATTTTCGGAAACGTCTAGTCGATCTAGTGCTGGAAGAGCTTTAGCTATTTTTGGGAGTGCATTAAGGGAATTAATGCTGCGCCTATAAATATCGCTCAACTCGTTTTTAGCTGACCCATAAAATAAAGTAAAGCAAATATTTATGACCAGGCTGAAGTGCTATTTAAGAGCTGACACGAAAACTGTTCACTCTCACGCCCACTCTCTCTCGCTCTCCCACTCTCCCACTCTCTCTCTCCCAGTTACTGCTGCGACGACAGCTGGAGTGGGTGATATAGGCAACTGTTTATTATCACCTAGTTTCAGTTAACGTTATTCGCTGAGCGCGTCAATAGCCGCCGTCAACAACAACGGGCGCTGAGGCCTCGACTCATCAGATCGGAAATAAAGCAGCAAATCAATACGAGACATACAACACAACAATCTTATCTCAACAACATAAATAACAATACGAGGAGTACATGAGTTTCGGACGCCGCTGCCAGCGAGGGGCGAGGCGCTGCACCTGCTGTTGCTACAGCTACAGCTGAGAGGCTGGCTCGAGTCGAGACAATCGAGATCGTTCAAAGACGTCACAGCATCCGCATCGTTTATACCTGCTAATTTACTAACTCCCCGTCGCTATTACCGCCGTCTTCTCTCTCCCTCTCTCTTTCTCTCTCGCTCTGTTTATCAACGAGTTACCTGCAGCATTTGTAGTTTTAAATGTTGTTTACCGTTGCTTTGCTCTCGTTCGGCTGCTCTGGCGGCGCTTTTGCATCTCTTATCAGTAACTGATGCTCGAGGCGCACTCTACCCATCTCTTCCAATCTCTCTCGCTCTCTCTCCCTCTCTCTCACACACACACATACGCTCACTCGCTCGCTCGCTCTATTTGCCGTCTTCTTATCTTAAAGAACAATACAAATTCGCGGCTGTAACTCAACGTCCGCTCGGCAGACGCATTCAGAGCACGGACTCTGCCAGTTGTGTTGTCGCGAATTTCGAATCAACTGTGAATACGCTTCGAATACACTCGAGAATACGAGCTCTCAATCCGGCCAACTCAAATATTTGCACAGAGTTTGCAGCAATTGCAGCAGCAGTCGGCAACTGTTTCCAAGTTGGTAAGTCAACTAATTAACGATGAGCTAGATAATTGGCAAATACTTGAAATATGATTAATTATTATTATATAAAACTCACACGTACACACACACACACACACACATAGATACATTTGCATGTATATCAGTCTTCATTCGATTTAGCTCTTCATAGAGCCTGCACTCACCTAGACCCACATCATTATCTTTATAAGCAGCAATATGAAGAGGAAGCAGCAGTGTAAATAGACCGCACCAAAGTGGCCTTAGAGCCAAATAGTTGAGCATCTATGCTTATCAGCTAGCTACCTTAGTCATTGGATAAGCCAAAAGCAGACGAAGACTAACTCAAGAAGCGACGATTCTCTTATCACAAAAAGCCAGGAAAGAAAAAAAAAAATAGCTTGAACTCTAGGAAAACTAAAGACAACAAGACAAACTTTGCGCTGTTTGCCTAAGAAGTCGGAGTCTAAGTAATTTTCCCTCTGCGTCATATTTAGATGAGTTCATCTAGTATATAGCCAGGCTGAGCAGCAGCACAAAGGCGACGCGTCTGTGATTGCAATTTGAGCTCAATAATTTGTATAATTAAATAATGAATTGATAAGCGACTGGGACAATGCAAGATGTGGGCCCGTGTCCGAGGCCGAGTCGCTTCATGTGCATGATCTTGGCAGTTGGGGCTGCACGACTTGAACCCTAAGCCAAGACTTAGATAGATGGAATATTTGTGGTTTAACGAACTCTCGTTCGCAGAGATACCAGCATGGTTCAGCAGTATTCGGCGTGGAGGGTGCTAACACGCCGCAAGCACCTGGCCGCCGATGGCAACGAGGGTGAAAGCAAGCTGAATCGCGTCCTGGGCCTGTGGGATCTCACGGCACTGGGCGTCGGCTCGACCCTGGGCGCGGGCGTCTATGTGCTGGCCGGCCAAATAGCCAAGGATCAGGCGGGCCCATCGGTGATGCTGTCCTTTGCCATAGCCGCCCTGGCCTCCCTGCTAGCGGGTGAGTAAACAAACAGCTGAGCGAACCTCTGCCAAATCATCGACTGACGCCAGTAAATCCATCCCATTTCCAGGCATCTGCTATGCGGAATTCGGGGCGCGTGTGCCCAAGGCGGGCTCCGCCTACGTCTACAGCTATGTGTGCATTGGCGAGTTCGTGGCCTTTGTCATTGGCTGGAATCTGATGCTGGAGTATGTGATTGGCACGGCGAGCGTGTGTCGCGGCATCAGCCTCTACCTGGACACGCTGCTCAATGATACGCTGAAGCAGAGCTTCGCCGAGGCGGCGCCCATGCACGTCAGCTTTCTGGGCAGCTACTTTGACTTCCTCGCCTTTGGCCTGGTCGTCGTCTTTGGCGGTGAGTTGACTCTCGATTCTGGCACGGAATATTTTGTGAATAAGAATTATTGTTTGCAGTTGCCCTGGCCTTTGGCGTGGATACCTCTGCGATGGCTAACAACTTTGTCACGTGCGTGAATATCTTCATCTTGGGCTTCGTCATCATCGCTGGCGCCATCAAAGGTAGCTCGACTGACTCGACCCTTGGCCCTGTCAACTAATTAAGAGATTTGATTTTTCTTTCAGCCGACTTCAGCAACTGGACGGTGGATGCCTCGGCGCCGCCCGAGAATGCCACCAACATAGGCAATGGCGGCTTCTTTCCGTTTGGCTTTGAGGGCACACTGCGAGGCGCCGCCACCTGCTTCTTTGGCTTCGTGGGCTTCGACTGCATTGCCACCACGGGCGAGGAGGTGCGTCATCCGCGCAAGAACATACCGCGCTCCATTCTGCTCTCGCTGCTCATCATCTTCCTCTGCTACTTTGGCGTCTCCACTGTGCTCACCCTGATGCTGCCCTACTACGAGCAGGACGTCAACGCCCCGCTGCCCTACGCCTTCGAGTATGTCGGCTGGCCGGTGGCCATGTGGATCGTTACAATCGGTGGCTTGGTTGGCCTCCTCGCCAGCCTGTTTGGCGCGCTCTTTCCCCTGCCCAGGGTCATGTACTCCATGGCCCAGGATGGCCTGCTGTTTCGCTTTCTGGGCAAGGTCAGTCCGCGCTTCCAGGTGCCCGTGACGGGCTCCATTGTGGCAGCGCTCTTCACGGCCCTCATCGCGGGCCTGTTCGACCTGGCGCAGCTGGTCAACCTGCTCTCCATTGGCACTCTGCTGGCCTACAGCGTCGTGGCCATCTCCATCACCATTTTGCGCTACATGGAGTACTGCGACGCCGAGGAGCAGTCCTCGCCCACGGCGGCCATCACCGAGACGACGTCGCTGACAACGCGCAGCGCGCGCTTCACCTGGAGCTCGATGTGCACTCAGCTCTTCAATGTGCATCGCGTGCCGGAGCCCAATCAGCTCTCCACGCGCATCGTGGGCGTGCTGACAACTCTGTTCTGTAGGTGCACTCAGCGAGCAGGAGGCGGCAACAGCTTTACTCTAATCTCTTGTCTACTCGGCAGGTCTGCTCTCCCTGGGTCTTGGAGTGCTGCTCATGCAGGCTTATCCCGCCATCAAGTCCCAGAAGCCCTGGGCCTTGACTCTGCTTATTCTGCTCATCCTGCTGATTGCCCTGGTGCTCCTGCTCATCTGCCTGCAGCCACGCGAGGCGCACAGCCGCCTCTTCCGCGTGCCCTTCGTGCCCGTGGTGCCGGCGATTAGCATCTTTATTAATATTTACCTCATGCTGCAGCTGGATAGCTGGACCTGGATACGCTTCGGCGTCTGGATGATTGTGGGTGAGTCGCTAGCTCAGCTCCCAATTCGTTGTTGCATGTTTATCTGTGTAGCCTTTGACTAATGCATGTTCCACTAACCGTAACGCCTTAGGTATTCCCATATATCTTGCATGCTGGTGTCTCTATGACATCAAAGATCCCACCAAACGTAATCCCGAACGCCTTGCGTTCTACAGGGCACTGAAAAAGCCCAACGAGCCACCCCCAGCGCCCTGCAATGGCAATGCCAATGGCAATGGCAATGGGTTTGGGCAGCCATCCAAGCAGAGCACGATTACAAATGAAACGCAGATTAAGCGAAATTCGAGCAGCTTGGATGAAATTCAGAATTTAAGCGAGGTGGTCGATGAGCTGAAGGAGCACAAAAATGCCAATGGCAAGATATTTTACGTTGAGGACACGAAAAGTGTCCATTCGAGGAGCACGCTGAGCACCAACGAGGCCGAGGACGAGCGCTCTGTGATAGCCATGCTGGACGATGTGCTCGATGCAGAGGACTCGCAGCAGCAGCAGCTGGACGAGCAGCAGATCTTTGAGCGCAACTTCAGCATCGACTCAGAGCTGCTGCCCAGTGTCATAGAGACCACGATTGTGGCCACTGTGCACAGCAGCAGCAGCGATGACGACGATGTGAGCAGCCAGAGATCGGTGGAGCGACCCACGGTGGAGGATTGCAGGCAGGCGGCTGGCGATATGTTGCGTGAGCTATTCGATAGTTCAGCATTCTATGAGCAGCTGCTGGCAGCCAGGGCTAGCCGAGAGGCCAGCAAGCAGCAGGTGGTGCCAGTGGTGCCAGTGGTGCCGGCGGTGGTTCGTCCAACTCCAGTTGAGCTCAGAGCTCAGCTCAGACGAGTTCCCTCAGTCAGCTCCGTTGCCTCGCAAGCCTCGATTGCCTCCTCTGTGGAGGATCCGTTGCATTCGGAGAAGTTTAAGGATCGCCTGAGCCACATTATAATGAATCCCAATGCCAACAAGCACAGGCGCCAAGAGGAGGCTGCGCCTCTGCAGGAGGTAGATGAGGCCAGGCCCAGCAGGCCGCAGCTGAAGCAATCGAAAAGTGAAACCGATGTCCGCCTCCTGCTGCTGAAGGCCATACGCGAGCTGAAAACGGACGACGATGAGGCTGATAATAAAAGTAACGGTTACAGTAACGGCAATGCTAATGCCAATGCCAATGTCGGTGCCAGCGCCAATGCTGATGAGGCAGCCGTGGCAGCGCCCGGAGCTGCCCACATACCGCGCGCACCGAAATTCGATCCGGTTTTGTACAAGACCATAAACAGCATTAGTTTGCACAAACAGCGACCCAGTTTGAGTCGCGAGCTGGTCGTGGATGCCAAGAATACGAAGCTTGTGGTTCCATCAACGCCCATGCTCACATCCGGATTCGCAGGGCCAAAGCCAAAGCCAGAGCCAGAACCAGAGCCCGAATCCGAGTCGGAGCCGGTGCCATTCAAAGCGAAATTGGAGGCCATATTACAGCGGGGACCCTCGCATCGGCTGCAACAGCGTCCGGGAGCGGACGGTGGTGCGGTGGTGCGGTGGTGCGCCGTAGGCCGCAATCGGTGTACGTCGAGGAAGCGGCAATTGAATGAGCCAAGCCAGGCTAGAGAGGATTGCAATCCAATTCTCAATTTTGTAGCATACTGTAAGAGTAGCTACACACACACACACACTCACACACACTACACACACCTACACACACTAACCCACTCCATCTACTAATCTGTTGTAATCAAATGTTGTTATAGCAGCGAGTAGCTGTTGCCGTGAGTCAGCGCAATGGAGGCAATACTAGATGTTAAGTGCTTAGGGTTACAGCGCACTGCAATTTGATTGCGAAATTTGGAAATTACAAAATGACGAGTTAGACGTGTGCTCTACGCCAATTAATGGCAGCGGATGCCGTTCGAAATATGTCGAAATGAAAATCCCAATCGAGCTACGAATATCAGAGTTAGAATTTAGTTTTGTTATATGTATGTAGAATGAAAATGGTTTCTATTATGCCTATTGAACCTTGTGATATTAACCAAACACTAAGTGAGCCAATTGCTCCATAAGATCCTACAGTGGTATTACCTTTCGCATGTGCATGATGTGTGCCAAGTATTATGTATAACGTTTATCTAATCCAATCAGTTCGATTTCCCATCCATTCAGGTCTCTCCATATACTTTTTCTATGGACTGCCCAATAGCTATAGGGAGATGCGAAGACAGCGCGCCGGCTGGCAGAAGCTCAAGTATAGCGAACAGTTCTAGATCGAAGCGGATGGAGAGTGAACTGAATCAAAACTTGATTCATTAATGAATAGGCCCATCGATGCGTACTTGCATATGTATGTGTCCTAAGCCAATTTGATAAATGTGAACAATTTGTTGTTATAAATAAAAATCTAGTTGTAATTAATAAAAGTCAAACTGCATTTTGGATATGTCGAGAGCAACTGCAGCAGCCGCTTCCGGGCGACGAGCCCAAGACGATCGTTAGTTTATTAATAACTCATGAATGGATCGTCATTGTCGTTTAATTCCCGAAGGCCTTGTCTGCGCACTGACTTTGATAAATTAATTGATGTTTGCCTGATCGTCCAAGACAAAACGAGAAGCAACAAATCGAGGCTGGGCTGGGGGTTGGAGTGTGCCAAGAGACTGCTGCAGTTGTCCGTGCCCCTTTGGTCTAGCATTGATTTTGATTAGACTGAAAAACATCCCCTGGGCCCCTTACCACTTGCCCTTTCCCCTTTCCTGCTTCGCCTTTCCCTTTTACCCAATCGATTGGAGGCTGTGCTGCCTGATTTATGCCCTCGTTTTCTGGGCATTTCTCTGGTCAGGTTGATGAGACCAGATTCCGGACTTCAGATTTGTATAACCGCAACTGGCGACTCTGCGGCATTGTTTCCTTGCCTACGTCTCCGTCTCCGTCTCCGTCAGCGTTCAGGGGGTTGGTCGCACTTTTTGTGCTGTGTAAGTGTAACAAATTGTAATCGCATTTGCTGGCAGCACTGCCTGCCGCTGCTGTATCCACCGAAATCTCTGTGTGTGGGGGGGCGTGCCAGCGATCCCACTCCGCTCGTCCTACGTCAGCGCAGTCACCCCAGCTCGCCTTTGCTCTGCTTTATTATTATTAACTTTGTTATGGTGCACAGTAGTCTCAGAAGTCTACGCAATTCCCCTTGCGCTCCACTCCAGCTGGCGTCCCGGTGGTTGGTGCGTCTTGTTTGGTCCACTTGCTGAGTCCCCCTTTTATCTAGTCAGAGCAACCAAATAGTTTTATGGCATATTTATGGGCGCCAAAACTTAAAGTCAGTCTCCCGGGCTAAGACTTTAAGACAGCCACACGACTTACTGACAAATTGCAGAAGCCAAAACTAATTAACAGAGCAGCCAGCGCATTAGATTCAATGGACGACGCTGCGCAATACACTAACCCACCCAGGGGGAATCGTTCGATTCATTACCAAAATTTCCATGAACTGTATGGAAAGTGCGTGCAAGAGAACTATAAATACGTTTAAATATATGGAAATTAAGAGACACATACGATGACTGTTAGGGTATCTGAGTCGAGCGTAAGCCTTTTAGACTGAGCTCTAATAACATTCCTCGACTTAGTTCTTCCTTCATCTCTTTAGCTTTTGTGTGTTTGTGTGTGTGTCTGTTTGTAATGTTTTGTTTGAAGTTAGTTAGTTCTGCTGGCCAAAGCGGCTTTTCATATTCATAAAAATTGCGAGTTTCCATTTCCATTTCCTCTGCATGCGAGGAAAACATAATCCGCTTATGGTCGCTACAAATGCGTATTGGACTTCACTTGGACGCAACTTTCCCATTTTTCTCTACATATACAAAAATGATTTTTTTTTTTGAAAATTAAAGAGACGTCTAACCAAAAGCGGAAATTGTCAACGTCGGAGAGGCTCAGGTAAATTATAAATATGAATGTGAATGCGCCCGCATTGTTTGTCTATGCAACCTGCATGAGCAAATAGAGCGCAGGAGACGCAGGAGACCGTCCGGCCGGCATGGTCTGGCTACGGCTCTGGCCAGAGTCAATGGGCACTCAACAAAAACATTTTGTCAAAACATAAAGGCGGCTGCTACTGTACGCAAAGTGGATCAGTGGATTTGTCCGCCCTATGCGGAGCAAAAACAAAAATCCAGTCACTGGCAACAGCTGCTCGACGCGGAGCGGCTGGCAGGTGGTGAGTGCGGCACTGGGATTGGACTACCGAAAAAAAGGATTAGCAATTGGTTTAGCATTTTGTTCAATCGGCCATGGGCAGCGTCGACTGTGCGAGTGCGACAATGCATCCATGTCTCTCTTTCTCTCTCTCTCTCTCTCTCTCCCTCTCTGTTTGTCAAGGTCTGGGCGAGCATGCAACTGGCTGTTGGATTAGTACGCTACATATGAGATTATGCGGTTGGCTTACGGGTCTAACTCTTTGGGCATTATCAACAGCGTAAGAGTTGGAAGACTTCCGCTTCAGCTAAAAAGCCATTCATGAAATATTTTCAACAGCAAATGAACTTCTGTTGCCAGAAAAGTAACAATTCACTCTCATATTTCTCTTGTTCATCTGGGAACTTGTTCTGTTATTGAATTTGTGTGCTGAAGACGCCAAATTGTTAATCACAATTTGTTTGAATTTGATTATAGTACGCTTGATTTCCCAGGCACTTTCGAGGCATTCTTTGTATGCCAGGACCTCGACATAATTGCTTCTTTGTCATTTACCACTGAGGACAACAAGAACAAGGACAGGGAGAAGGAAAAGAACAAGAACCAGGCCCAGAACAACGACAACGGCAACGAGCACAACAATGCAACTAGAATAAAAAATAATACGCTTCTGATTTTGAACTCGACTTCAATTGATTTTTATGGCCAGCTCCTCGTTCTTGGCCCGTTTCTGTTCATTCTCATCGCATTCTGTGGGATTGTGCTCTCATCTCGGAGCTCGGAGCTCGGAGCTCTGAGGATTGCTGCTTTTGCCCATTTATCTTTCATTCCCTTGGCTTGGCTTGGCGTTAGACTATTTACGACAAATGGTTTGCTTGTCATAACCTTTCTTTTCATTTTAATTTTTTCGTATCTTGTATCCTAGCTGGCTGCTTCTACAATTTTAAAGAAGAATAATATTTACAGAGCACGCACAATAGAGCCGGGCACCCATCCAGCAGAACTCCTACGACTCGCGCATTGTTTTCACACTGAATTCCTTGACAATGAGCACATTATTGAGCTCAAGCTGCAGTTGGGCAAAGGAAGACACAGGCAAAGACTGTGTGTGTGTGTGCGTGTGTGCATAGAATGCCAAGCAGTCAAGCTGCCAAGCAGGAGAGCAGCCGAGCAGTCAACCAATTCAAATTCAATTTGCCCCATTATTTGAGGCCCATTGTTCAAGCGAAATTCTGGTTACAATGCACTCGACTCGATGCGACTCGCAGAGACTGGGCTGCAGTCCAAGTTAAGTGCAATACAAAAGGGCGGCAGATTAAAAATAGCAAAGAGATGAGCACAAGATGAGAGTCGCTTGCCATTGCCTTACACTCCACATCCCGCACCCCGCACCCCATTCGCCAAATGAGGAAATGTGGTACAGAGTGCGTCAGTCGCACATAGAGGAAAGTGAGAGCAAGCGAGAGAGAGAGAGAGAGAGAGAGAGAGCCAAGGCTGAGCTGGAGTATGCTCGACTAAATGAATGCAATAAGTAAATAACAAAATGTCGTTAGCATTTGTGACTGACACTCACAGCAACAACAACAGCAACAACAACAACATCCTAGAAGACACTGAAGCTGAGAAACGGGACAATGGCAAACGGCAAATGCCTGCAATGGGCCGTTGCCGTTCTTGACGTTCTCTGCCCTTATTTGCCTCGTACTTTAACCCGATTGCAGCAGCAACAGCAACAGCAGCAACAGCAACAGCAACAGCAACAATCTCTCACAGCTGTCAACAGCAACAAATTGCGCGCTAAGCTGACATTAGATTTTGCGCTATGCAGAACCGCATGGCACAAATGGGTCTACACTCTGATGCATGGCCCACAGACAAAAAACGGCGGAAAACTAGAACGAATGCCAAATATGCTTTCCTTCAACAGGAAAGAGAGAGAGAGAGAGAGAGAGAGATAGAGCTATGCATATGCCTATGTGGAACACAGCTCTTATGCTTGATTATGAATATATATATATATGTTTTTTAAAGGGATGAGAGACAATGACAGCTGTGAGTTCTTATACATAAATTGATTGATTCAAATCCATTTTTTCATTATTTTTACTATTATTAGTAAGGGTGAGTCTATTCTATGCAAATTTACTATATTGATGATATGCTAAAAATATATTATATTGTTATCTCTATTCTATAAATCATATAATATAGTATGGCATAGTTATCTATGTTTATTCTGACTAATCTTGCATCATTCTCTCAAAACTATAAATCCTATGATATAAGGAATATGATGCCATAGTACTCTCGATTCTAGAAATCCTATATTCTGACTACAATGGCATAAATCTCTCAATTCTAATAAAAATGCTATTATGTGGATATTATAGCATATGAGTAATATGGCATAACTCCCTTAATTCTATGATTCCTATATTCTGTCTACTTCTTATATACCTGATATTGCATAGTTCTCTCAATTCATAAATATTCATTTCAGTTCATTTCAGTTCACTTCCCGCTTTTAGAGCATTTCCGGTTGCGCCTAAGCATTATGGAGACGACGTTTTAGTGACGCATTGTGCCAGTTTTATGGAGTTGGCCCATCTGGACATCAAGTGGCAATCATATTAACTGCGACTAATTGTCAGCAAACTGGCGCAAAGCAAGAGTCAATGGCAATGCCTGAATGTCCAACTGCTTGCTTGCTGCGGGTGCCAGCTTGTTAACAAGTTGCCAGCGGGCAACACTACCACCCTACCTCTCTCCCTCTGCCTCTCCCTCTGCCTCTCCCTCTCTTGCGTGCGTATTTGAAATGCTCATTAGCCACAATTTTTGGACACAAAAATTGCGTTAGTTGCCATTGGCGATGTT